TCTGCTGCAAGGAGGGCCTTCTCTAGGCTGTCGACTGTGAGGGTGGTGGGACAGACTGCGAGGAAGTGGTCCCGGACTACACGAAGGGAGTCAGGGAGGCGAGTGACTAAGAAGTAGAGAGTGATGTACATGGGGGGGGGGTTCTTGGCGCAGAAGTCAGCAGGAAGCGCAGCGCGGTAGCGAGTGTCACTAGTGCGGAGGTGCGTGATGAGATCAGCGACAGTGGGAAAGGCGGCAAGGTCAGGGAAGAGGAAGGGGAGCATGAGGCGGCTTAGTGCAGCAGTGGCAGGGGAGGAGTAGCGCGCAACTACAGCGTCGTACAAGGTCTGGGCACTCTTGTACTGGCTAAAGTGCGCGCGCTCAGCGGTAGGCAAGTGGGGACGCACAGCAAGACGTGCAGCAGCATCGCGCGTGGCCCACTGTAAGCGAACAGTGGCGTCAGCATCAGCAGCAGGGGAAGGGACGGCGCCAGAGGTGAGGTCAAAGAGAGACAGACCGTCCGCCCTATCGCACTGTAAAAACAGCTGCAGGTCGTCGAGCCAGACCTCAAAGTCTATGGCTCGACCCTCAGCGTCAAAAGCGAGGACACTAGGGGTAGCCATGACGACGAGAGTGAAGCAGTGCAAGCAGTAGGGGAAGGGCACGCAGTGAGAGCGGTACAGTGCTCACCGGGCAGGGCAGGTCAGGCGGGTCGGTAGAAAGGCGGCTCGGCTACTCAGCGACTCGGCTCCCGGGCGGCTCGGCTCCCAGGCGGCTCGGCGGTAGGGCGGCTCGGGCGGGGCGGCTCGGCTGCCGGGCGGCTCGGGTGCAGGGCGGCTCGGCTGCACTGCTGCTCGGCGGTACGGCGGCTCGGCTGCTGCAGGTGGGCGGCTCAGCTGCTGCAGTTGGGCGGCTCGGCTGCTGCAGTCGGGCGGCGCGAGAGCAAGGGGCGGCGAGGCCGTGAGTGCTGGGGCAGCGGGGCCGCGAGACCAGGGGCGGCGGGGCCGCGTAGCAGGGGCGGCGGGGCCGGGAGCGCTTGGGGCGGCGGGGCCGCGAGATCATGGGCGGCGGGGCCGTGAGCGCTGGGGTGGCGGGGCCGCGGGATCAGTGACGGCGGGGCCGTGAGATCGGGGGCGGCGGGGCCGTGAGCGCTGGGGCGGCGGGGCCGCGTATCAGGGGCGGCGGGGCCGGGAGCGCTGGGGCGGCGGGGCCGCGTATCAGCGGCGGCGGGGCCGGGAGTGCTGGGGCGACGGGGCCGCGTATCAGGGGCAGCGGGGCCGGAAGCGCTGGGGCGGCGGGGCCGCGAGATCAGGGGCGGCGGGGCCTTGAGCGCTGAGGCGGCGGGGCCGTGAGATCAGGGACGGCGGGGCCGCGAGCGCTTGGGCGGCGGGGCCGCGAGATCAGGGGCGGCGAGGGCCGCGCTTTCAGGGTCAGCGGGGCCGCGAGATCAGGGGCGACGGGGCCGCGAGATCAGGGGCGGCGGAGCCGCGTGAGGAAGGGCGGCGAGGGCCGCGAGAGCAGGGCGGCGAGGCCGCTAAGGCGGCGCGAGGGCGGGCAGCGGGGCGCGGGCGCTAAGGCGGCGCTCGGGCTGCTAGGGCGGGCGGCTCGCTAAGGCGGCGCTCGGGCCGTTAGGGCAGATCGAAAAAAAAAAAGTAAGAGCAAGGGCCCGGAGCGCGCTCCGGGCAGAAAAAAAGGTTCGATGTGGTGGGCCCTAAGCAAAGTTCCCACGGGGGAACCTGCTCGATACCATGAGAAAGTTAGAACGAGAATGAAATGACTATGAATGAAGTGAGTACAAATAGGAAACCCTAGTTGGGTTGTACCCCCTATGGGATACCCCACTATAGCCTACACAAATAAGTAAGCTATAACATTCTGACAGTGGCATCAGTGTCACTTGGAAAAAATTGCTGAAATTTCAGAGTCATGTGCTAGGTAAAGGCTGAAAAATCAGCCCCACTAAAAGCTGAACACTGGAAAATCAGGCTAGCTAAAAAAAAAACCCTGGAAATCAGGAATTTCAGGGAAAAATTCCTGATATCGTAGGCCCTGGACCCGGGTCTTCTAAAAAGTATACCATATAATTAGACCCCCCAGCCATTTTAGGGGTGATTATCAGAATACCCTAGGGTCTTATATACGGGGGATTACGGTAAGCGCCGGCGCTTATGGCCGTTCCTCAATTACAAGCGCCACCCCTAAAAAAAAAATATATATTATAAGCGCATATGCGCTTATATCCGGGGCCTAACGGTAAGAAGGATGATCGATTAGGTAAGTGGGGGGGGGGGGGGGGTACAAGATTGTCGAAAAATGTAGTGTACCCTCTAAGGATAACCCCTACATAGCTTAGAAAGATAGAAAGAATATAATGTTTTGACACTAGGAACGGCCGGAGTGAGAAACGAACAAAGCTAGAGTGGCAAGGTTAGGAGTAGCCGGAATGAACAACGGAACGTGGTCTGAAAGCAAGACTACATTCCGATAAAGATAGTGACAAACGAGGCCAGAAGGACTACTAAGAACAACTAGAATGGAAGCAAGTCGCGCTCAAAGATTTATTTAATTTATCATGCAAAGAACAAGAGTCAGCTTGTGTAGAGCTATTTGCGGCAATTCAATTATATATACACCTTTTTTATAAACACCAATTTGTAGGTCACGTCACTGTGACTTCAGTCGAGTCGACATGGTAGTGAGTTGCATACATATATTCTCACGCTACTTGGCAGGGAACCTGCAGCACCTGCAGCCAGGCTAGAGTGATTTGGCGGGAAACCACCTACTGTTTGACTCTGTTGACCCTGTACCTCAACCTTCCCAGATGGCGTGAACGAAGAATAATTCGTTACAGTACATTCGATAATGAACCCAATAGAACTTCACAAGCGTTCATAGTGAACACACCCAGATATGCCTGCGCTTATAAACGGGCCAAAGCGTATGCGCCAATCAAAAGAGTGAGTTTCTATCCGGGAAGACACGATATAAATATACTTAGGTCACAGGACAAAAAATAAGTCAATAAACCCCCACCAATCCCCCCCCCCCCCCCACCCCTCCCCCCCCCTCCCTGTCAGAATGAGGAATGATGATGCCATTGATGTTGGTTGGGGTACATATAACAAACCCTAACTTCTGTACCCCCTAAGACAAACCTCACTACAGGCTACAACATTTGACACACCCCCATAGCCTAAGTGAGGGGTGTCTAGCAAAATAAAAAAGAGTACGGTCACAAGACCAGTCCAAAAGAAAACAAAGCTCAGGGTGGATCACAACGTCACCACACTCTCTGAGCACAAGCAACAGTGGCCACAAGGCCAGTCCAAGAGATCACAAGTATATATAGCAAGAGTACAGACGAAGCAGGCAATAAACTCAAGCCTACACATGACTAGAACCTGTGTCAACAAGGCCTAACTGCACACAACACCTCTGGTGGTCACGAGGCGGAAGCGCCTTGGTGAAGATGTCTGCAGTGTTGGCCTCGGACTCCACAAACTCGAAGCGAGCCTGTCCACGTCTCTGCAACTCTCGCAGAAGAAAGTACCTGACGTAAATGTGCTTCACTCTGCTCTCCAGTCGCGGCTCACGACAGAGGAGGATCGACGCCTTGTTGTCAGTGAACAACGTCGGTGCAGAGCTCGGCCGCTCACCAAGGTCGGCGAGCAAGAAGGTCAACCAACGCAACTCCTGTGCCGCCATGGCACCAGCGTAAATCTCAGCCTCAGCTGTAGAGGTCGAGACAGAAGAGGAGCGCGTGGAACGCCAGGAAACAGCTCCAGAACCCAGACTGAAACAGTACCCCTGAGTAGACCTGTGAGTCAGACGGAAAAGTCAAGTGGTCTACCGTCAGCGTCGAAACGAAGAACTCGCGGAGTCGCCATAGTGAGAACTAACGCGAACGAACAGGCGAGTAACAACCGGGGAGAAGAGGCAAATTAGGGTTCAGGTGGGAAGGGGACTCAGTCGCAGCGGAAGAGTGGGCTAGGGCGACGGGCCAGGGCGTAGGGTAGGGCGACGGGCTAGGGCGTAGGGTAGGGCGACGGGCCAGGGCGTAGGGTAGGGCGACGGGCCAGGGCGTAGGGTAGGGCGACGGGCCAGGGCGTAGGGTAGGGCGACGGGCCAGGGCGTAGGGTAGGGCGACGGGCCAGGGCGTAGGGTAGGGCGACGGGCCAGGGCGTAGGGTAGGGCGACGGGCCAGGGCGTAGGGACGGGACAGGGCGACGCGACGGGGCAGGGCGGCGCGATGGGGCAGGGTGAGGGGACGGGGCAGGGCGACGCGACGGGGCAGGGCGACGCGACGGGGCAGGGCGACGCGACGGGGCAGGGTGACGGGACGGGGCAGGGCGACGCGACGGGGCAAGGCGACGGGACGGGGCAGGGCGACGCGACGGGATAGGGCGACGGGACGGGGGGGAAAGGGCGGGCACGACGTGACGGGGGGAACGGGCGCGACGCGACGGGGGGAAAGAGCGCTAGGCGACGGGGGGGAAAGGGCGCGACGCGACGGGGGGGGGGGGGGGGGGGGGGGGGGGAAAGGGCGCTAGGCGACGGGGAGAAAGGGCGCTAAGCGACGGGGGAGAGGGCGCTAGGCTCGGTACTAGGCGCGGTAACAACGGAACCGGTACGAACGAGAAGTAGGATCAGGCTCGGGAGGGACGAACGGAGAACGGAGGGACGGGATCCCACAGGATCCTAACCTAGCTGATACCATGTCAAAATGAGGAATGATGATGCCATTGATGTTGGTTGGGGTACATATAACAAACCCTAACTTCTGTACCCCCTAAGACAAACCTCACTACAGGCTACAACATTTGACACTCCCCCCCTCCCCCCCCCCCCCCCCCCCCCTCCTCCCTTCCCAACCCCATGGGGTGGGCTTGTGGAAACCCCCCTGGGTCATATGTGGCGGCAACACATTAGACACCACAGCAGACAAGGTGGCAGTCAGCCCAAGTGTGGAAGGTGTGTCGCTATCAAACCGACTTTTCAAATTAGGAGACCTACACTCATCAAATTCCACTCCAATCTTCCCCCATGTACGTTACCTCGGTTGGTTGCTCCGGGTCACACCTGTCATACTCAAAGGTAGCAAGTGTCCGCATGGAGTAAAACACTGCCGTGTGCGAGTACCCGGATCTAGAAATCACATACGCATCAGAGGCCGCTAGGAGCAACCACTCTGTCACTACCTCCTGGAACATCCTTGCTTCGTCCTGCTTGCTGCCCTCTATGCCGAACCCATCCTTTTTGTTCACTGATGCGAGGCTGTTGGAATGCCGTGGGACAAACTCGGTGGTGACGACCTGCACGCAAACAGGGCAACCATGTAGGGATCAGGACGCACTTTGTTTCAAATAGCATGGCTACATACAGGACCCTTATTTACTCACCCCTCTTACCCATTCTCTAGGGCGATCCATCCTGACTCGTAATTAGGCAGTGCAAAGTAAACCATGCGAGCGCCCAGCCATGAGGAAGAGAGCAGATGCTTGTCAGTAATCCCAAACAGTTCTGGAAGTGTTTCTCCTAAGAACCTTTCAGTCACTTGTCTCTTACTGATTTGGCAACAGGGGCCCTAGAAGCCTTTGAAATGCGCAAATGGGAGATGGGAGGCGACTAACGGCTGGATCACAGAAAGCCCCTTCGTGCGTCTACATGTGTGAGTTGCAACTGCTGGGTTGGTGATCAATGTCGGGTGCCTGCATGACGATATGAGCCTACTGTGGGTTTCTACCTCTGTCATAAGGTCTAGAAGCTACTTCAAAACAGCTAAAGGCCAACTTAAGCGACGGCAGCAGGTTCGGCTGCTGCTGCTGATGCTGCAGCATCCTGCCCTAAAAAAACAAAAGAACAAGAAAAAAAAAACCGTCATCCCCGCTGTGCTGCACCAGCAGTGCAGCGTGGACTGAGGCCGCGTAGCAGTCAGTCAGCGCCTCACCCACCCACACAGTTACTGACCCACCCACCCATCCACGCATGCACACCTTGTCGGGGTATTTGGATTTAATGGCAGCCTTGAGCTGCGCTGAGTTGGTGATGAGCATCCATCGCACCGCAAGGGACGACGGGAACCAGAACTCCTCCACGCGCTGGTGCCACGGGGAAGCAGGGCGAGGAACTTGATGGGAAGGTTGGAAAGGACGATGTGGGGGGAGTTTAGGGGAGGCTGGAATGACCACTGCTTGATAGGAGCAACAAAGTTGAGGAAAAAAGAGGATTTGTCACATGAGTGGGAGAAGCAGAATCGTCTGGTGGATACACATGAGTGGGAAAGTGGGTAAGGAAGAGGGTATATACTGTGGATGGTCAGAGAGCTGTTCGGTAGTGAGGTGATGCAATGGACCCGTGAGTCACATGAACCACGTGGGCTGACATGGCTGCACACATCAACACATCGCAACGCCATCCACAACTCCATGTGTGCACACGTTTCCACAGCAACCCTCAACCACTGGCACCATCGCACCCCTCCACATCCAGTCATGTCTCTTACACCCATACACACATGCACCCATCCACCCCTCACGCATCCACTCCTAACCCATCCACCCCTACCACTCTCACCCTCCTCGCCCCCACACCTGAGCGCAGTCGAGCCACTGCTTGGCGTCCCCCAGCAGCGCGTCAATCTGTTTCTGCTCCAGGTCCTTGGGCTTGCCTCGGTCGCCCGCCCACACCACCTCGTCCTGCACGCGGATGTGAATGCCCACCGTCGCCACACGCTGCTGCTCCATAGCGGTGGCGGTGCTGTTGCCTCGGAGCTTCTGCATGGTGCTGTGGAACAGCTCCCTCACCTCGTCACGCGGCCTGCACCCATGTGCCGTGCCCGGTGGGGTAGGGTGGCACGCACGTGGCGGGTGGTATGGGAGAAGTTTGGTTGAGGGGAGAGCCAAGAGCCAAGAGCTGCATGCAGTACACTGCCACATTTCAACCACATGGGCCGCCATCCGCCATCCACACCCCACCCACCCGCCCACATTCCCTCATCTGCCCACATTCCCTCATCTGCCCACATTCCCTCATCTGCCCACATTCCCCCATCTGCCCACATTCCCTCATCTGCCCACATTCCCCCATCTGCCCACATTCCCCCATCTGCCCACATTCCCTCATCTGCCCACATTCCCCCATCTGCCCACATTCCCCCATCTGCCCACATTCCCCCATCTGCCCACATTCCCCCATCTGCCCACAATCCCCCATCTGCCCACAATCTACGCCTGCTCGCACGGCTCACCGCAGGAGGAACCGGAAGAAGCACCCCATGGCGTACGGCAGGCGGATGCCCAGGCCTTTGAACCGCTCCGCCCACTCGCCCTTGGCCTTGGTCGCCAGGTGCGTCAGCGCGCCCAGGTTCGCCGCCAGCCGGATGTTGGTGGCGTTCTCGAGCGCCTTGAAGAACGTCTCTAGCTCCACGCGCGAGTTCCGCATGTCCAGTCGCACCACCTCCCCCGCCTTCGCCGGCGCGTCGGGGCGCGCGTCGGTCACAACGCCGTCCCAGTTGTAGCCGGGCGGCGTGACGACGGTCGCGGGCTCTAACGGCACGTCGTCCGACAGCCGCCAGTCGATCATAGCCGGCAGGAACGCGGCCGGCAAGCAGTCGTGGTTGACGATGAGCGCGCGACCGTCGAGCACAGCCGTCACGAACGCGAGCATCAGCCCGTTGAGCGCGTCGCCGTACCCGCCGCACCCGTCCAGCCATTCGAACGTTAGGAAGCGAACGGCGGGGTCGTACGGGCGCGGGGGGGGTGCGGGGCTGAACCACGCGAAAACTCCGCTCCTCCTGCTCCGCTTGATGACCTCCACGTGCGCTGCGTGCGCGACTGCGCTGGCCTGGCGGATGGCGCTGTGGCGCGCGGCGTAGTCGGCGGGCCAGGAGCCGCAGAGGGCGGAATCGGCGGAAGAGGTGCGGGAGAAGTCCCAGTTTAACGACGGCGGTCGGTACTCGCCCTGGGGGGGACATAGTCGGACGGTTCGGTACAATGCGGTACGGAATGTCGCCGGGGGGAGCGGAGGGAAAGAGGGAGGAAAAGGGAGGGCGCATGAGAATCCGCGTTTGGAACGTGTGATGCCTATCTAAGATCATGATGGCCACTGGGGTGATAAGTACCAGAGGCCCTCGAATGCTCGCGAGTCGCTACTATGGGTGAGCCTTACAGAAGCAGATCGAGTCGCGAAGAGGAAAATCCACATGGCTCCTACGAGTGCGACGACTGACAGAGTGGCGGGAAAAAATCCGTGCCGCCGCCGCCATTTGCGGAGTTGACGCAGTGAAGTCATCTTTTGGGGTGGCGGAGCGCAATGGCATGAGAGGAGAGGGAATGCTGAACTTGGCGGTTTGCGGGTGTGACGACGACCCTGTTTTGGTGACACCAGCGAGGACTGAATCTGGTGGACAATCTCATTGACCCTGTTTTGGTGAGACCGTGATTGACGCGGATAATTGCATCGATTGACCACGCATGGTTGACACAGCGGGTAGTTTGGAGGGACCTTGTACAAGCTACAAATGTGTTGCACATTGTCTTGCGGATCCCTCTCCTCTCACGTATGATTGATGGCCCGTGGTCGTCGCCTCGCATATCATCTGACACCACGAACGATAACCCAGCCAGATTTCAGGTTTGGTTTACACCCCCGAACCTCCTCCGAACTTTGCGATATGCCGCGAGAGATAATTCAAGGGACAAAACGGGGGGAAATTCCCACAGACTGGCGATTGTCATTTGCCCATAAACCCCCAAGACCTGAATAACAAAGCCTTCACTTTGGCACTAAGATACCCGAAAGTTTGTTTTAACCGGATACTCATCAACCATATTGTCATCACTTAGTTTCACAAATGTAGATGGTTTGAGACACATACAGTATACGGCCTCTAATTATTGACTTGCAAATCTGAAACATCCCGTGGCATAATTGCAGCCGTTCCATCAATTATGGCACATTTGGCAAGGCTTTGGCCTAATTGCTCCGAAGTCTTGCACATTTGAGAGAGAGAGAGAGTTTTTGAGCTGTCTGTATGACATGCTCAATTTCTGCTTGATAGGAGCAACAAAGTTGAGGAAAAAAGAGGATATGTCACATGAGTGGGAGAAGCAGAATCGTCTGGTGGATACACATGAGTGGGAAAGTGGGTAAGGAAGAGGGTATATACTGTGGATGGTCAGAGAGCTGTTCGGTAGTGAGGTGATGCAATGGACCCGTGAGTCACATGAATCACGTGGGCTGACATGGCTGCACACATCATCACATCGCAACGCCATCCACAACTCCATGTGTGCACTCGTCAAAAGTGACGTTCTGAGAGGGGAAGACACGGCGCGAGGTGGGGTGGTAAAACTGCCAGCCAGGCACGTCAGGGACAAAGCCAAGGAAGACACAGGGAACGGCACGGGAGGAGAGCTTGTCCGCGGACGTATCGCGAGCAAAGGCTCGACATCCCCAGACCCGGAACACCGACGCATCGCCAACCTCCCCCGTCCAACGCAGTGTGGGCGAGGTCTCCGGAGCAGAGACACGGGGCCAGAGGTTGAGCTGATGCGCAGCGTACTGGACTGGAAACGACCACAGGAAATGGGGGGTAGCCGCATGGATCATGGAGGTACGAGCGACCTCCATGACTAAGCCAATGTGGCGCTCAGCTGTGGAGAGGCCGGAAGTGTGAGCGTCTGGCGGATGCCGTGCTCCGCACAGTAGGCTGCCAAGAGGTCGGAGGAAAACTCACCACCCCTGTCAGAGTGCAGACGCAGGAGGGGAAAGTCCGACTGGTACCGCTCGCGGAGCTGGAGACGAGCAGCGCGGATCCAAGGGATCAAAACATCAGGGACCTCACCCTTGGTGCGCAAGGGGAAGACCGTGGTGTAGCGCGTGTAGTCGTCGACGACCAGCAGGAAGTACCGCTCGTGGCCCTGTCCACGGACGCGGGCTGGGCCCCACACGTCCAGGTGGAGAGTCTGCAGGGGAGCCTCTGTGGGATGGAACGAGGAGGAGTGAGGGTTGGCGCGCTGCCGCCCCTCGACACAGGGAAGAGAGGGAGGAGCAGGCGAGGGTGGGAGGGGAGGGAGAACCCTGGGAAGACTAGAGACAAGGTACCAGGAGTGTATGCCACGAAGGCGCTACACTGACGAGTGACCAAGACGGTGGTGCCAGAGAAGTGTCTGGTGCGACAGGGAGCGATACGAGCAGGGGGCCGTCAGCTGACCTGACGCAGACGTAGACTCATGTACCTGAGGGGACTCAGTGGTCAGTGAGTACATGTCCGACCCCGGCTGCCGAGTGAAGGTAGCTAGGTGGCGACCCGTCCGAGCACACGTACAGTGGGTCACACGCTCATAGGCAGGGATGAACTGGTGCACACCCCCGTCCTGGAGAGCAGAGCCCGCCACCAAGTTCGTAGAGAACGAGGGGAGGTAAAGACCCGACAGGGTGCCGGACGGGACCGCAGGACAAGGGAGGACAGTTGAGGAGGTCGCAAGGACCGGGCCCCCAGAGGGGTCAGCGAGGGAGACAGCAACTGGCCGAGCTAGCTGCTCAAGGACAGTGCGGTCACGGAAGAAACAGCGGGAAGCACCCGAGTCCAGTGTGAAAGTGTGCAGTGCCTCAGTAGACGCAGTGCCAGCTAGCTCAAACGCACGAGCACCTGGAGCAGCAGACTCACTAGCACCTAGGGCAGCAGCCTCACCAGGACCTAGGGCAGCAGACGCACTAGCACCTAGAGCAGCAGTCTCACTGGTCCCAATACCCGGGTCGGGCGGTACACCCAGGTAACAGTCACCCTCAACACTATTAGTCAATGCATACATGGCACCAAGGATAGCATCAAAATCAAGAGCAAATATATCAATGTTCTTTTTAAGCAGATCAGCCCAGCGGGGCAGCTTAGAGGCTTCAGGAAACTGCTCGCGCCAGGCGTCGTCGAGACGAAAGAAGCAGCGCTGCGCCGTGTGGAACCTCCCACAGGTCTGGCCAGTGCGGTCACCTGTGCGGATGACGTACGGGCAGGTACCTCCACCCCCAGAGCCCCCACGCTGAGAGTACCACTCACGGAGCTGCTGGGGCGAGGGAGTCTCGCCAGGACGCTGCTGCTGCTGCCTCTGGCCACCGCCGAACCCCCCACGCTGCACCGCTCCACCGCGCCCGCCACCAGCTCCACTGCCGCCACCACTGCCACCACCACCCCCACCACCCCCATCACCTCCGCCGCCACCACCCCCTGCTCCACCACTGACCCCCCCACCACCAGCGCCACTCCCACCACCGCCACCACCCCCGCCCCTTCCACCCCCTCCACCACCGCCGCCCCCGCCGCCACCTCCGCCACTCCTGCCCCCCTTGCCCCTGCCGCCCTTGCGCCTCCCACTAGGAGCAGACGCAGCCCCGACCCCCTCAGCACCGAGGTAGTCGACGGCAGCAGCAGATGCAATGGAGGGGAGGAGGGGGGAGGGGGAGCACCCCTCAAAGAAGGGAGTGCGAGGGTCGGCACGAGAGGCACCTACAGCTACAATGCACTTCTCAGCTGCTAGGAGTTCCTTCTCGAGCAGGTCGACAGTGAGGTCGGTGGGGGAGAGGGCGAGAAAGTGGTCCCTGACGGTGCGAAGGGAGTCAGGGAGGCGGGTGACTAGGTGGTAGAGTGTGAGGTACATCAGGGGAGGGTTCTTGGCTAGGAAATCGGGGGGGAGCGCGGCACGGTAGCAGAGATCACTAGTACGAAGGTGAGTGATGAGGTCAGCTACAGTGGCAAAGGCAGACAGATCGGGGAAGAGGTAGGGCAGCGAGAGACGGCCTACAACATCGTACAGCTCCTTAGCGGCCTTATGCTGGCCAAAGTGCTCGCGCTCATCTAACGGCAGGTGGCTGCGAACGGCTAGGCGAGCGTGAGCATCACGGGTCTGCCACTGTGAGCGAGCTGAACTGTCAGCAGTAGCAGCAGGAGCGGGGGCTAACCGGACGTGTGGTCAAACAGGGAAACATCATCCTTGGCAGTGATCTGGAGGAACAGGTGCAGGTCATCGAGCCAAACGTCAAACTTGATCGGACGGCCCTCAGCGTCAAAAGTGAGAACGGTAGGACTGACCATAGTGGCAGTAGCAGCAGTAAGAACAGTAGTAGCAGTAGGAGGAGTAGCAGTAGCAGTAGCAGGAGCAGCAGGTGCTGCAGGTGGTACACAGTAGGGCAGTGCGGCTCGGTCAGGGCGGCGCGACTCGGGCAGGACGGCGCGGCTCGGGCAGGACGGCGCGGCGCGGCTCGGGGAGAGAGGGTGGGCCGGCGCGCGGTTCGAGGCGGCGGCCTACGTGCTGGCGGCGGCCTAGGCACGGGTGGCGGCCTACGCGTGGGCGGCGGCCTATGCGTGGGCGGCGGCCTACGTACGGGCGGCGGCCTGCTTGGGCAAGGTGGCGGCGCGCGCCGGTCGACGGGCAGCTCGCAAGCTGCTCTAGGGGCCGCGCGAGGCCAGGGTGGGCTACGCATGGACGGCGTCGACGGCGTGGGCGGCTACGGGGTCGCGCGCACTAGAAACGGGCCGGGCGTGGGCGGCTAGCGGGCTGCGTGGGCAAAAAACGGGCCGCGCGCAGGCGGTTAGCGGGCTACGCGACCTAAAAAACGGGGCGCTCGAGGGCGCACTAGGAGCGAGGCGCACGAGGGCGCGATTAAGAGAGGGCGCACGAGGGCGCTACTAGCGGAACGGTGGGCCCTTAGGAACGTTCGGTCCTAGGTTCCTAACCTAGGCTCGTAGTACCATGTTAGAATGAGAGAAGTGGTTGGACTATCAAGATTGGAAGTACAAGTAGGAAAACCTAGAATATTGTACCCCCTAAGGCTAAACCCAATGTAGCCTACCAGACAGTAACACATATAATGTTTGACATTCGGGCCGCTGACGTCGGCGTCGGTTGAGTGCAAGCGCAAGTGCTGCGGTCAACGGCAGCAGCTGGAAGCTCGAACGGCAATATTGATGGTCGACGCCTTTCTCCTCAGCGGAGTGGAGCCAGGCCGACTTCGGCGACTCATGCGTCGGCTGGTCGAGACGGAGGCATCGCTCCGGCGTACGGCTACATCAAATTTTCGCCGGACAAGATCGCTGTGCCGAAGCCGCTCGAAGGACGACATAACTTGTTCACATGGATTGAGTCAATCGAATCCCAGCTGGAGATCACCGGATTGAAGAAGTTCGTTGACGGCAAGGTGGAGATGCC